AACTCATGGCGTGCTTCGTAGGCGTGGGCAGCCACTTGTGATAATGCGTCACCCCGTCCTACAGCCAACTGATGTTCGTGTATGCGCGATCCAAGCATGCATCCGTCTAGCCTGTGTTGTGTAGTTTCGAAAACAGTTTAGGCACGGGACGCGATACAATATATCCGACTGTTCTTTAGGAGGTGATCGGTCCTTGATTAAAGTGAAATTATGAGTGTAGACTGAAGGAATCCACCTAACTGAGTGATATGGCTCAGACTGATAACTACTGTTATGTGTAAAACGTGGCTAGGAGTAGTAGCAAGATGACTCAGGCAATAGTGCACGGCGTGGCATTACGTCACAGATCAGTTGGAGTAGGCAGAATTGAAAACCGAAACAACCGCAATCTGGTAATCCGTGACGTCAAATCATGCGCCACAAGTTTAGCATGAAATTCATTCTTAACCAGGTCGTCGTCCAGCTCTATAACGCGTGTGTCCTTCGTGGCAGACTCGAGTGAAAAGACGTTTGCGGGCAACAGTACACTAGAGTTTATATTGCGATATAGAACAGCAGATACGAAACGCCAACTGGCGTTGACTGTTCACGTGAACGTAAGTTTAAGACAAAATATGGGGCAAGACGCAAAAGGACGGAGAGACAAGGCACTTTTATAGACAAAATGTTACGAAATACATTAGGGCAGGCTCAAAGTGAGAGAAATCTTTTATTCACTTGCTCCCAAAGTGCGTAGTAATAAAGCTACTATTTAACAAAAGCATGCTTTGAAAAAGGCTAGAATAAATGCATGTAATTCCTTCTACATATTCGCTTTCTGTTTTACGACTTCCTCGATAAGACAGCGTAAAGGGCGGTTAACATATAGCGACCCAATTTTTTAGCCGTTTGAGATTAGTCTAGTCTGTAGCGCGTGTCGCTTATGCCGGAAGAAGCTCACATACAACGCCACAACGGGTCAAAGTTCGCGAAGGAAGATTATCACGCTTCCACAATGACTGACGCCGT